GGAGACACCCAGAGGAGAAACCCAGGGGAGACACTCAGGGGAGACACCCAGAGGAGACACCCAGAGGAGACACCCAGAGAGAGACACCCAGAGAGAGACACCCAGGGGAGACACCCAGAGGAGACACCCAGAGGAAGATACCCAGAGGGAGACACACGGAGGGCCACCACGGCACCCTCGGGGGGAGCGCGGGCGGGGCGGACCTGGGCCTCTGTGGGCACTTGGGAACAGGTCACCCTCTGTGGAGGAGCTGGCCCCCCTGGAGGGGACTTTCTCTTGTCCCTGATATGGAGCTCAGAGGAGGCCACGTGTCTCTCTCTCCCCAGCCAGAACACTTGATTCCAGTCCCAACGTGGCCTCCGCATCTGTGACCTGGAGCCAGACACATGTTTTGGGGCCTCCGTCTGCAGACAGGTGACTGTGCACCCTGGTGGTGACAGGAGCAGAGGGGCAGAGTGGGCGGAGGACTTCCAGGAACGGCCAAGCGCCTGGTGAGTGAAAAGCAGCTCCTGGAGGACTTTTGTCCAGCTGAAGCTAAGGTCAGGGCGTGCTGTGAGGGGACAGTGGGGGCCTGAGGCACTCTGCAGGAGGCACAGACCCCTTCGCCCGGAGGGGCAGCTGGCCTCAGCTAGGACAGGAGGTTTCCAGGCGAGTGTGAGGTGTGGAGGGCCGGGGCGTGGGCAGGGCGTGGGTGTCGGGGGGCGTGGTGTGAGGGGGCTCCTGCGAGGGTGAGGCTTCGGTGGGTGTGCAGTGCCCTGGGAGTGTGTTGGCCCGAGTCAGCTGGTTGGAAAAGCTCCTGGAGAGTGAGCTGAGGGCCTGGGGTCTTGGGGGCCCTGGGATTCCTTGGGGACCCAGGATGCCTCTGGCTCCCATTTTCCTGAGACGTCGCTATAGCGATAAGCTGGAATCACCCGAGTCCTAGTCTGCCCCTCAGATCTCCACTTCCACTCTTGGCGAAAATATTCCAGGGGGAGAGTTTGAATGGAGGCAGTGGCCAGCCTGCCTGTGCACGCATCTCCAGGCCTGACACCAGGAGTGAAGACAGCCCTCGTCGGCCCAGGACACCTCCAGGTTCTTCACACCTGTTCCCTGGGAGGTCCTGGGGCAGGGGGCACCAGGCCAGCTTCTCACTGCGTCTGTCAGTGGTGCTGAGATGCATGGGCAGCCCTGGGTCCCGGCCAACTCCCTTGGGCAGCCCAGGGACCCAGGGAATGTGCCTTTCAGATGTGTCTGCGGTGGGCGGAGAGCAGGGACAGGGTGTGCTGGAGGGCTCCTGGGCCCGGGGAGTGGGGAGCCTGCAGAGGAGCTGGAGCTGTCTTGGAGGGCAGAGGCCCCCATGGCCAGGGCTGTGCTTGCGGGGGCCCTGTGCGGCTCCTGGCTGTGGCCCCAGAGCCCAGCTCCCTCCCTCTGCGGCCCTGCGGCCTCCTGGGCTGGCCCACACTCACCGTCCTCTCTGGGCTCCTGAAGATCTCGCGGGCCTCCTCGAAGGAGCACTGCTCCTCCTTGCACTCCCTCTCCAGGGAGCCTGGCCACAGCTCCTCCATGAGGGAGTTGGCACGCGGCTGCCTGCGGAGGACACTGTGCGCTTCCTCCTGGGTCACGAAGACTGAGAGGGAGCCGTGAGCATGGCCGCCCCCAGCTCTCCAGCCTGCTCATGCTCACAGCAACAGGACCGCCACACTGAAGGGAGGGTCCTGCTGTCCTGAGGCTTCCCTACAGAGAGCCACGCACCAGGCCGGGGATCTGAGGTGGGCGGGCTTCTCCTGAGGCCTGGGGCACCGGGTTCGTGGAAGCCACTCACACACCCTCCCTGTGGAACCTGAATGCCCCAGTCAGGACTGTATCTTAAGGAAGCCTGAGCTGCGGGGACTGTGCGAACCAAGTCTGAAGGCCACACCCGGGCACCCAGTGCTGCGGCCACACTGTGCTTAGGAAGACGTGACCCTGAGGGGAAAGAGGGTAACATAGCCGTCCTGCCCAAGTGTGACCGGCACGCACGAGTCCCGCTGGGCTTCTCACAGGTGATAGACCGTCCACGTTCCTGTGGCTGGGCTGGGGAAGTGTGGGGAAGGTGTGGGCCCTTCCAGCACAGAGACAGGCTGGGTGTAGGCCCGAGGCACCTCCCAAGCTACACAGCCCTGGGCATCCTGACCCCCTGTGCCAGCTCCCGAGGCTGGGTGCCTGCCTCCCACTGGGCCTTCCCCGCCTCTGTGCTGCACCTCAGCTGCAGACCTTTGCCCTCCCCGGGCCTCCCTCGCCCCTTCCTGATTCTCCCAGAGACCCCAGCAGCTCTAGGAGGTGGGTGGGAGGCTGGGGTGGCCTGGGCCCAGGCCTCAGGACAGGCTGTGAAGGGAGAAAGGAGGGGTGTCGAGGCAGAGTCACCCTCACCGGGGTGCGGGTGGTCCCAGCAGTGAGGCCTGGCTGAGTTTGAGGCTTCCTGGACACCAGTAGGTGAGGGCAGAGTGGGGGAAGAGCGGGGCCAGGGAACAGGGCAGCTGGGGAAGAAGGGAGGAGCAGCAGACAGGAGGTGCCCCAGCCTGCCACGCATCCCCAGGCTTTCTCCTGAGGCTCAGCGCCCGCCCGTGTGGGCTGTGGTGGCAGGCCACCCTGCTCCAGCGTCCCACGGGCTGTCGGAGGCATCCTACCCGGGACCCAGGAGCTCTGCTCTGAGCAATCCCTCTCCCCTTGTCCAGCTTCACAGGCAGGACCCACGGGCACCCAGGAGAGCACCCTGCTCCTAAAAGTTTCTTGAAAAATGACCAGCCAAGCCAGTCAGCAAGGGTCATAACGGTCATTCCTCAGCTAAATGTGGTGCACACCTGCCATCCCAGAGACTTGAGAGGCCAGGCAGGAGGATCCCAAGTTCAAGGTCAGCCTGGATGATTTAGTGAGGCCAGTATCAAAATAAAACATTTTAAAAAGGGCTGGTGATGTTGGACAGTTGTAGAGGGCCCCTGGGTTCAACCCCTGATCTCACAGAGAGGGAGGGAGAGAAGGAGGAAGACAGGGAGGCAGAGGGAGAGGGAGGGAGGGAGAGAAGGAGGAAGAGAGGGAGGGAGAGGGAG